CATACACACTGAAATTCAATGTGGACAAGACGCATCAAGCAGAGTGTACACGCACAAGCCACCTACAAAGTGCTTATTCATGTATTTCTGCCTGGGAATTCCCAGGCAAAAGCACGGGAGCCATAAACAATGGTTCCTATCAAGATTGTAATCTCCGTTTACGGTTTTTTGAAAAGGAGAATTTTATTGATTAGTATGGCTGTATTGAGACATTGTGAAGTATGTTCTCATTATGCTTTAATTTTTCAAATACACAAATCTTCACATAAATTTACTCCAAAAATTAAAATCTCAGCCCAGTGATTTTTTTTTTCCTTCTGCATTTAAGGTATTCTTGCATGAACATATAACATGTTGGTTAAACAAAGAGAATACTATGACTAATGATTCAAGAAATAATGCTTGCTAGAGACATCACGATTCTTTGAGTAAATATCAGAATGGGAAAAAAAAAAAAAAAAGCTTTAGAAATATCTAGGCTTTTATGTCTTTCCAATGAGTTTCACCCAACACTTGGTGAAACATCCATTCTTGAATGCTTTACAAATGTTCCATTAATGCTGAAAGCTCTACACACACCAATAGTGAAATGAAGGTTGAATATTGTGAATCATCATTCCCCATCCCTGACAGAGTAACGAATTACTGTGAGCAACCACAAAGCAGGCAGAGTTTGGAAGAGCAAATTTCCAAGTAATACGTTGACAAGGTTTTACTGCCATCTACAGATAACAGTAATTAGTGCACCAGTAGCAATTAAAAAAAAAAAATGCTACAAGCCAAATAAACATCCAGTGCAGATATTAGAGGAAAACCAATTACTCACGTATGTATAGAACCATGAAGCTAACCTGAAAAGCTTCTTAGGATTTTTTTCTGGTAAAAATATAACTGCATAGAGAAACATCAGCTTCCTTCATTCTCTAAAGTGGTTTGAGATCTACTAGGTACAAAACCAATGTCTTCTACTGCCTAAATATTACTAGATAAAAATGCAAAGTACTAACATTTTCCTTGCATTTAAACTAGGAATTATTAAGTGCTGATTTTCACATAGTAAGTTCTCAATTAAAACTGTCTTAAATAACTCCTCTCATACAGGGTCATTGGTTAGCAAGACCACAAAACATTTAATTGCAATGTAAATCTCCGCTCATACGTATACTCTCCAGATACTTGCAAGTGGGTATAGCTGTACAAACATCTTCTATTTAGAATTTTCTGTTAAACTTAGGCTTCCCAATCAGGCTCATTCTCTCTAGGCAGAACATATGCCAGCATATCACAACACAAGTAACTGCATAAAGATTTTCCTTCAGCTGCTCAGAACAGCTAGCACAGTAGCTCAGTTCACTCTTGTCAAACACGTCCCTTCTCTTTTCACTCTGCCTTAAAGCCACTTTCTTTTCTTCAACACCTGCTCCCAAACCATCTTTACTTCCTCTCTCAGCTAGCTGGCTAAGCAGTTACCCTGCTAAAATCCTCTTTCAAAAGTTTTGTTCGAAACCTACAGAATAATTGCATGGCAAAAGGAGAAGAGATCAGGAGATCTGCAGACTTTAGGGCTTGAGCAAGAATAGCAACAGCACTTAGAACCATTCTAAATAGTATCTCTGTAATTAAACTAAATTGCTATATTTACACACAGCATGAACCATTCTCAAGTATTATTCTGCACAGATCGGCATTTCATGTAACAGTTTAAATGCAGTGTATTTAAACAAAAACCAGCAAGTAGACAGAAAAGCTGAAGTTAACTTTCTCAGACCCTGTCTTAAGAGTGTGAGAGGGGGAAATCTTATCACTATTATAAATCACCTCACAGAAATGCCTAGAAATGAGGGAGCCAAACAGTTCTTGCAGACGTATACTGACAGCTTGAGAGACAAGGGAGACAAGCTGCAACAAATGAAATTTAAACTAGGTACTGGGAGACATTTTTCACAATTGGTAGTGAAACATTAGACCAGGTTGCCCAGAGAGCTTGTGGGACTTCCATTGCTGGAGATGCTCAGAATTTAACTGTACAGAGTCCTGAGCAACCTGACCTCAGCTGGGCTTGCTTTGAGCAGGGGTTTAAACAAGAAAGATTTCAGAGGTGGCTTCCAACCAAAATTACTCAATAGGTCTAAACGTATGCAATACACTTAAAAGAACTATGTAATCATCATCAAAATAGCAACACTAACTTTCCTTGAATGAATGCACCAATATATCCTGGAGGCCACCCAGATGGAAAGCAGCTTGGCAGAAAAGGCCCTGGGCATGCTGGTGGACAGCAAGTTCATAGAATCATAGAACAGTTTGAGTTGGAAGGGACTCCAAAGATCATCTAGTTCCCACCCCCTGCCATGGGCAGGGACACCCTCCACTAGCCCAGGTCGCCCACAGCCACATCCAACCTCCGTGCCTTGAACCCTGCCAGGGACCCAGGGGCAGCCACAGCTTCTCTGGGCAACCTCTGCCAGGCCCTCAGCACCCTCACGCGGAAGGATTTCTGCCTCCCATCCCATCTCCATCTCTCCTCCTGCGGCTTCAGGCCATTCCCCTTGGCCTGTCACTCCCTGCCCTTGTCACCAGCCCCTCTCCAGCTTTCCTGGAGCCCCTGCAGGGACTGGAAGGGGCTCTGAGGTCGCCCCGTGGCCTTCTCTTCTCCAGGCTGAACCACCCCAACTCTCTCAGCCTGTCTCCATAGCAGAGGTGCTCCAGCCCTCGGATCATCTCTGTGGCCTCATCTGGACTCACTCCAACAGCTCCAAAGTTGAACATGAGCCAGCCATGTGCCCTTGCTGCAAAGAAGGCTGATGGTATCCTGGGCTGCATTAGGCAAAGCATTGCCAGCAGCTTGAGGGAGGTGATCCTTCCCCTCCGCTCAGCACTGGTGAGGCCACATGTGACATGATGTGTCCAGTTCTGGGCTTCCCAGTATAAGAGTGACATTGGCATACTGGAAAGACTCCAAGAAAGGGCCAGCAAGATGATTAAGAGATGGAGCATCTCTCCTATGAGGAAAGGCTGAGAGACCTGGGACTGTGCATCCTGGAGAAGAGAAGGCTTAGTGGGGGAATCTTATTAATGTATATAGATGCCTGTAGGGAGGGTGCACAGACAATGGAGCCAGGCTCTTTTCAGTGGCCCAGGGACAGGGCCAGGGGCAACAGGCACAAACAGAAGCCCAGGAGGCTCCACTTGGAGCTTTTCCTTTCCAAATAGGAAACACTTTTTCACTGTGAGGGTGACCAAGCACCGGCACAGGTTGCCCAGAGAGGCTGTGGACTCTCCATCCCTGGCAACACTCAACAGCCACCTGGACATGGTCCAGGGCAACTGGCTCTAGGTGTCCCCTTGAGCAGGGGTGCTGGGCAAGATGACCTCCAGAGGTCCATTCCTACTTCAACCATTCTGTGTGATTCTGTTTTTAAATTAAGATGTTTTGAAGAGTCTGAAAGACCTGGTAAGGAGTCCTCACAGAGAAAAAACAAAAGACTTCTGAAAAAGAAAGTCACTGTAAAAAGAAACAAGCTTCTCTTGTACTGGAATTGCAATATATTGCCAATGAAATGGAAAAGTATTGGAGATATTAAAAATGCAACATAGGTAAGTGTAGTTCCATTATATGCAAAATATGAAATAATTCTGGGAACACAGACAACACAACACTCACTACAAAGGAAACGCAAAAGAAGCTTTTGCAAAATCTATCATTAGACTGTAAAAGGCGCTGTGAAGCTCCCAGTAGTCTTGTTTTGTATAATCTTGACACATTACCAAATGCACCACTTACCAGTGTTACGAGCTATGTGTCCCAAATTAAGTCTGCACATTTGTACACTAGTAACCATGCATATTCAAGGTCCCTGGAACAAACTAGCTTCCTGTGTCACTACACAGAGCTATTACAAAACATCAAGTACGTGTTTCAAAAATCAAGAACAGAGATGTCAAAATACTTTTGCACCCTAGGATGCAGGATACAGGCCGGTATCCAGTGATCTCTAAAATGCTGTCAGGAACTTTCCAGCTCCTTCTATTTTAAGTCCAGTTGTGTGATGAACATTATCAATGTACTCCATTGTACAACAAAGAGCTGCATCAGGAAGTAATGTGAATAAAATGATACATCAACCACGGCAGTGTACAAAAGCTTGTCTGAGAGATATGCCAGTTACTAAACTTTTTGATTAGTTTTGACTATCTACAGAGTATTTCCCTGACATCACACATTCCTCTGAGTACCTGCTTGCTAATATGCTTACATTCTCTCAGCATCCTGGCCTTGAGCATATATTTAAAATTGTATTTACATCATCTTTATAGCATTAAAAAGACACATAAAATCTCTTTCCTAAGGAATCTTTCCATAAAGTAATTTTAAGGTAGTTGAGGTTATTCATAGCTTTCCATTTCACCAGATGTCCAAAAGCTAAGGAAGTTATAATATTTTGTAGGACAGAGACACATAGTCTCTTTCAGTCTACTGACATTTTATTACCTACTATTTGAACCAGCATGAGAGAACTGGGAAGACTTTCTACAATTTATACTCGTTTATTATTTAAATTTTTCATAACTATACCTTTCTACAAATACTAGAGTGCAAAAGAGCTTTCAGAATCTACTACTCAAAATAAACTTTTCCCACAGAATTTATGATTACTGACATTAATCTGTTTAATAATGATGTTAATGATGGAACTCTTTCATCTCATATATACCCTATCATGAAAACATTTATTATTCAACATACAGGACTATCTTCTCACGTGGCTATATCAAGCATAAGTTTTCTCTAAATATTTCAGAAAATGTATAATTTCAGCTGAATTCCCAAGATAGGAGATGAATATTGGATTAATTGTAAGTATCGTGTTGAAATTTTACATTTTCCAAAAATGTTTACAACGCAGAAAAAGAAAGGAGGTCTGTTCAGACATGGCCATGGAAGTGTGGAAAAGGAAAGTAAAGATGTACTTAATTTACATTTTGGCCTTTTTTCTTACCTGAGTACCCAAACAAGCAACCATCATGTGAGTGAGGAGTTTAGCTGCAAACATTGCACACCTGGTGCAGAAAAGGTGGGAGATAATAGCCAAAGTAAAACCTACACAGAAACAAACAAAAAAAAAACAACAACAAAAAAGGAAAATTCAGAGCTTAAGCTACGAAACCATGCCAGATAAGAACAACAATGCTGGATATCTTGAAGGTGCAAACCACTAAAAACAACCAAAACAAAAACTTACAGAGAGAATATGTTCACTTTGGTTCACAGTAGGATCATTTACGAACTTGTTACTGAAGTACTAACATATATTTAACTTTTTCATAGGCTTGGGAGCTAAAATAACTGCACAATGTAAACCAGTTATTTTTGCAGGTTGTTGGGTTTTTTTAAATTTGTGCATGATATGGATGATTGTCACAATAGTTAAATATAATGCAAAGGTAAGTCTTCATTGTCATTTGCATCCAAAAATGCTTTTAGAAGCAAATAAATTAGGAGATAAATTTTAGGATAAATAAGGAGATAAATTTTAGGATAAAATTAAGAGATAGCTATAACCTTCTAAATACCAGTCTCCCATTTAATCTGTGTTCAGCATAGAAATCTGTTATAGCAGTACTCAGAAAGAATAATGCCACTTGCTGTTCACTAATTCATTTGTGAACACGAACAGAGCAGAAATGGGAAGAGCCCAGTTCTTGGAAGAAGGACCCTGGGAAAGCGAGTCACCAAGGAAAACAGTTCTGAAGCTCATCTAGAGTTAATTGTTTGTACACTTCCACACCACAGGAAGGACAAGGAATTGGATACTTACAGCAGGCCTTTATGCCTCTTGAGATAGACTGGTTGTTCAACTACAAGTATTTGTAAAATATGAATGAAACAAATAATTCCAGAAAGAATTATTTCTAAACCTTTCAAAAATTACCTAATTATATTTATAAAAGTATCTATATAAGAAAATTTCAGAAATAATAATATTCTATTTCACTCTACTGTGCTAATTTTATTTTTTTTAATGCTTCACACCTGTGTGGAGATGTTAGAGCAATAAATAATATCCTTACAGTTCTCAAGTCTAAAGCAATTTGTTAATCACTAGATTTAAACATAAATAACCACACAAGGAAATGCCTTCAACCAGACAAAGAATCCGAAAGGCACTGCAGTTATATTCAAGGCAAACCCTTAACCAGGCTAAACTGTTTTAATTTTTGAAATACATTCTGAAGAGACATACGACTACAGAAAATGACCAGTGCTAGGATCTGTAGGATTTTACCGCTTCCAGTTCAGAAAAATATTTCTCTCAGCTTCAGTTTCTACAGCATATTGCCTTACTTTGTATAGGTTTTTTTCTTCAGTTTCTATTGCATTTTGCATTCTATGGTATATTTGTCTCATCAATTTACTTTTTTTTTTTTCTGTAAACCAGTAACTATATTTGTTCATCATAGTTGGGCTTTTTTTTTTTTACTTTCACTAAGAAAATCTGTTAGAAACGTAATTGTATTTTAAAATCCACTTATTTTTATCTTCTTAAAAATTTCTTTCATTACTGTTAAATAAAACAATTAATTTGTATGAAGTAGGTGAAAACCAGAGGGTTTTCTTCTCTTTCTTTGTCTTCTTTTTCCATGGCTGAAGTTTTAAAACAATCAAGGAGCCTGGCTTTAGTCTGTTAGGGCAGTTTTCTGGGAGGGGATAAATAGAGGATTTAGTTGCTTTGTGTTGTTTTTGTTTCTCATGCTGTCAGGAACTAGTAAACTCTTGGGCTTCCCCCAAGATGTCAGGTAGCAGTCAGGCAGCAGAGTGTAATGAAGCTCTACACATGTGATATGGAATCTCCCTCCAAATTATCACTTCTGGGTGTAAATCGTCAGCTAAGACTGCCAAACAGCTCTCATGCTAGGTAGAATAGTGTCTGAAAGATTTGACAAAGACAACTGCACTGCTGCTAGGGACAAAAGAGAATTTATGATTTTTAATATTCTCCCCCCAAATGAGTGACCCCCAATGGGGGTTGGGCTAGCTGATCTTTAAAGGTCCCTTCCAAACCAAACCATTCTATGATTCTATGACATTTCTCTTTTGTATGGTTCAATAAAACATCACAAGGAAACATATTTCTTTGCTGTACTTTTTTTTTTTCAGTAGCAAAATTTATCAGTGTGCAAATACTAGACCAGATGGCAACTTCAATAGCATGAAGGTAGTTAACATTTCTCCAATATCCCTCCAATTAAAAAGATTGTCATCAGTTACTAAGATCACTAAAAATCAAACAATCTTATGGGTTGTCAGTTGTTATTAATAACAAAACTATTTTATATCAACTGACCTGAAATGCAGATGAATCCAGAAGAGAAAAAAGCTTCATTGTATGAAGACAAGTTATCTGTTTGGGCATAAACTGCATAAATGGACATATGAGAACAAGAGCATTCCACATAGTCTGACGTGTCATCAACCACCTTGCAGAACCCGCTATCAGACAGCCAGCTGCAAAACAAAAGATTCACAAAGTTGGAAATGGACTTGCGTATTTTACAGAGTAAGCAGGACTGAAAATTGTTGCTGTATCTCTGAAGTACGAAGTTTTCTAAACTACTGCATAGGGGTTTTGTGTAATCTTTCAGGTGCAGTTCTAGCATAGCACATTTACATGAAATAAAAATATTATTTATAGCTTTGTTTTTACTTTCATGATTGAAACAAATGTGAATGTAAGACAATGAATTATTTTTCCATGACTGAAAAAAAATATTTTTATTAAAAAAAAATTTGTAAAACTTCTGCAACAATTATGCCTGACTTTTCAAAGAGTTTGTCACCTAACTTGCACAATATCTTACCCCATTATGGAGAACACTTCATTTTATACTGCTATTTGTTGTTTTGAAATTAAAATTCATGTTTTCTTTGTCTTTGAAAAGACAGGTGACATCCTAAGCCATTTCTAGTGGAAATCACATCTGCTCTAAGATGCAGTGTCTAGAAAGAACGAGACCATCCAGGTAAATTCTGCTGCATCTCCTTTCTGAAGAGAAACAGTTTATATCACTGACAGACTGATATAATCCAGTCAGTCTAGTGAAATCGTATCTGAACCAACTGGATCTCAGCAGTATACAGAACATAATTCTCTCCAAATTCACCAATTCATAGCGTGTGAACAGGAAAGACACAGGCTAATCAAATAATGGAGCACTGAAAAGCAGACACAGAAAACTTTATCCCATGGTTTAGAATAGTATGAGTAGCAACAAGAAAGGAAAATAATCAGCAGTTCACCATTTGTTCCAAAAACCAGGAGACATCAACTTGAGCTAGTAGCACCAATATTCAAAACAAACAGAAGGCTTTTCTGTCAAAAAGTAATAGCCCTGTAGAGATCATTGTCAAAAGATGTGCTAAAATTCTGGATTGTGCAAGAAAAGTCTAGACAAGTTTGTGGAAGACAAATCATTTGGGGTATGAAATAGACAAAACGACATTCAGCTCATACAGTTGCTGGAGAGTATAGTATTAGGGGAACTACCGTTTATGCTTCCCTGGGCATTTTCTTTTAGCCACCGTTAGTCTCCACCAGGCTAGATAAATCCCTACTCTGTTCCTTAACATTTTTTTTTAGTTCAGTGTCTTCCACAGACCCAAAGAAAAGAGTGGATATTAGCAAATTAGGAACATTCTGAGTCAGTGACTTGAAGCAACACAAGAGATGCAGGTTTAGTTCTTTACTTTTGTAAGAATGGACTTGAAGGGTTGCCTGATAAAACCTGTAAAAAGTCAGTAATGTTAATGAAGTGATGCAATTATGGAATTTATGGCCTGTCAGAATTTCCTAACACATCGTTACACAATCTAAATGGTATTTTGGTGAAAAAAGGCAGGAGTAGAAGTCTGAGAAATATCTGAGCTAGAATAACTACACATTTTATTAGACGGAAAGTTTTACATGCTGCTACAAAGGCAAGGAAAGTTAAGGGAAAAAAGCAAATAGGAAATGGATCCATTTTATACTTGCAAACAATCTAATTGGAGTTATCACATCTTACGAACAATCAGGTTCACAGCAGAAACTGGAAAAGTGATCAGATTAATAAAATAACCTTTCAGCAGCTTGATTCCAGAGGAGACATAGAGACTGTTGTGGAACAATCCGACTTCCTGTAGCATAAATCCGATAAATGACTTCATTGTTATCTTTCAAAGGGCGTGAACTCTGACCCTTCAAACTCATAGAAAACACCTGAAACAACACGTACAAAGTAAATACAAATTTAATATTAAAATTGAACAGTCAGTGCTCGTTTTAATCAGATACACACACAAAAATGGTCATATTATTTTAAATACATTAAAATGAGCAATAGCTAAATTAAACTAATTTATTGAAAAAATAAGTTGCATTATCTTCAAACCTTGTTCTTCAGGGCAAGTTCTTTATCTCCAGTAAGGAACCACTGCTGACTGCTATACTCTGTGAACTGTACAGATTCACAGCTCTCTTCTTGAGGAGGAGGTAACACAACAGACACCTCTAGTAAATGTTCAGGTACTTGAATAGAATCTCCATCTTTTCCATCAAATCTGTGTCCATTGATTTGCTGAGGAAACCAGTTGTGAGCCATTATTGCAATGTACGGGCAGCTGTCAAGGATATTTTTACCTCTGTGGAAATGGAAAAGCAATTGGGCTGATAAGTGGAACCGAGCTTTCACTATTCTTCACAGAATGACTCTAAAATGAATTTTCATTAACACTTTATTGCTCCATTGTTTTTAGGCTTTATGACATTTAATGGACAGATAGTTTCAGTTTCTGTGAAAAAAAAGGAGCTGAATTATTATGTACTTCAGCTTCTTCATCTCCCCTCTGGATTTTGCTCACTGTGATCTGCAACCAAAACCCCTCCATAGTAAACCAGGTTATGATAATACTCGTCTTTATAACTTGACATAGAGATGAGTCTACAAGAAAGAGAGGCCTTAAAATTGGTGATCTTGCTTTACCTCTTATTCTCAACAGATGACGAAAAAAACCTTGGAATAAAGAATTTGAACTTTCAAGTTCGGACACTGTTCAGGATAGTGCTGATATTTACACCATTTACTGTCTTTTGGCTGAGATGGGCTTCATATCCCCTACAACTTAGGAAATGGCAAGAAAAGTTACATGTCTAAAAGAAGTTGTGATAGAAATATAAACCATGCTGGTTTTCTGAGGGGAAAAAAAGTATTTTTTTCTAAATTCAACTACCAGTTGTTTAATAGATTCATAGTGGGAGAAACCCACTGTGTAAAACCATCTGTCTCATAAAAGAATGTCATCTATTTCTGCAGCCACCAATTTCCCCTGCCTATTAGCCTGACCACAGTGTATTACGTACTTGCAGACAAAACTACCAATTTGAAACTACATATAAAAACGACAAGTAGCTTTAAAAAAAATTTAAATAATGTTCAAGTGAGCAAAACCAAGCACACAGAAATTAGAGTATGCCAGTAGAAATTTTGGGTTCTTACTCTCATCTAAGTCTCAGAAAATAGCTCTCCATCATGAAATTACATATTATTTTCTTATTAAGATTAATTTATCCTTTTCCAGGCAATATTTGAGATAAATACATTCCAGATCTCCTGACTCCTACTCCTACAGCTACCCCATATCAATACACCAGTTATTTGTGACACCAGCTCACAGTGTCAATATAAAGCTTTGTAAGACTGTGACAGAGCACAACACATTTTCATGGAGGTAACAGCTGATAGACAAGTCCCTTTTCTAAAAATGTCATTTAAATTGTTACTGTATTGGTAAGCTGTCATGTATTTCCAAAACATATTATGAATTCAAGTTTACTAACCTTTCTCCCGGTGATCCACACATTATCCCAGTCAAGAGGGAAAAAGCAAACTTCTCAGTGACCTCAGCAAGCAGGCTATATCCTCGCGTGTCCTCACGTTTCGGGCTAGCCAGAGCACAGAGTATCTCATAGAAAAGACTTCTACTTTTATCAGTGAGTAACTGTTTTTCACCTACATCTGTAACCTAATGAGAGGGGAAGAAATCAAACATTTTATGCACTGAAGTCTGCTTATAACATTTCCTCATAAAATGAACATTTTAGCCCAGTGCTCATTCTGAAAGTTCAGAATATTTTTTCCACCTTCCGAGCACTGCTGTCAAGGCATGAGGTGAAGTCTATGTCAAAACTACAAAAAGATATGCTTACTGATAGGGATCTGATTATTAAAGAAACTATGTGGAATTTTTCATTCTTTCACAAATCAAAGATTGAGTCCCAAGAATTTTTTACATTATTTTCTCTGTTTTCTTTGTCAAAAAGCAACAATCAGAAATGAAATGTTGTTCATGAATATCATTACACTGCTTTGTGTCTAGGTATTTTAATATTGCCTCAGCTCTTGTGCATGATTCCACAAATCCAGAAGAGTCAGAAAGCCAGAAAATGAGTTTTCATAGAACTTAGTGCAATGCTAAAGTGCTCAGCTACCCTGCCAACCCAATTCCCAAAGGTTCTGCAGGAAACAAGACAAGCTGCATGCGTGGTTAAAAGCACAGCAGACTCCAGCTGGCTCTGGTAGGATTTGTTTGTGTGTTGAATGCGGTCAGCTGTGAAGATACGAGCAAACCTTGCGTCTCGCTGTCTTGTGCCAGGGCTACAACCAACAAAGACGTGGCCTGAGAATCAAGAAACTATAATAAGTTCCATGCAAGTACGGCACCAAAGGGAAAATTTTACACAGCAGAAGATCTTGAGCTGTAAGTACATTAGCAAAATTAACACTGGCTGGTCTTTACAACCTATTTGATTTTTTATTTCCTGCCACCATCCTAAGTAGTGGCAGACAAACTTCTTCCTTGACTGTGGGACTTCACAATTTCTAATTTAACCTTTACAGTCTGTGCCCCTGGGTCACTGCTGTGGATGCTAACCTTGACCTTATCACAGGTCTACATGTTGTTATACTCTTATTAAAGTCATTGGTCATTCAAGAAAGAGCAGGATAAGGAAATACCTTATCTATTATATGCAACACAGCAGTAAGCTGCTCTTCTGTAGTTTCTGTAGCCACTTTGACATTCAGATTCTGGAGGACTCTGTGTAAGATGGTGTCATCAAGAGGCTGATGCAGTTGATCAATCAGCCCCCAAACTGGCAAGGAGTCCAAGTCTGAGACAATGGTGACGTTAGCAATACCATACCCGTCATCTACTCTGGCACCGCCTGTGGGATTAGAAAGTACAACCTGGAAACCTTTAGGAAATGGGTTTAAAGATCCTGTCTTTGGAGTCAGGGTCACATCCAGAAACGTATTTCTCTGTCCATGTTCAAAAGTCAAGAAACCTTCAGATCTGGCAAAATCTTGTCCTGCCACAGCTGGAGATATGAAGGTCCGACCGATAGGTTCAGGTTTTTGAAGCTCCTTAAAACAAACCAAAAAAGTTTTAGCTAACATTATGATAGAAACAATTGTTCAAAACCAGCTGCTGCAGAACACGCGTATTTTAAATGGATAAAATATAAATGTGTAAACAAACAAATACAAAAGTCCTCTTTCAAAATGCAGATAAGAATGATACGACAATTACATTAAATGAAACATCTCCCTGAAATTGCAATCTGCATTTGTAACCAGTGACAACCTAGGGGAAGAATTATATATATTGCCAATAGTAAACAGGATCCCTCTCTTTCTTTTCCAGAACAAAAATCATAAAGATTTCTGGGTGAATAGATATTACAGAAATGTTAGCACATCTATAAGGTGAATTCCGGAGGGGTTGATGTGAGTTTTTGTCTGCAGCATGAAGTCCCTCTGTTCAGGTTACCGACAGCCATCACAGATACATAAAAACTAAACAAAAGCAAAGCAAAAGTTTTGGAAATCTGTGCCCAAACTAATATCAATTAATGATATTTTCAGTCCTGGTATAAATACTTAAAAGAAGAAAAATCCACTTATGTCCAAAGGCAAAACAAACACTACAGAATACACATGCAAGGCAGACGGATGAACTTATCTAGGAATGCTATATGGCCTCATTTCCCTGTGAAGTAGCACTATTTTTACCTTCTATGAGGTTTGCAGATACTGTTTCATTCTTCACATTCTTGCTCTTTTTGTCAGTTGCCATAACCTTGATATTATATCTGGTAATATAATAAACTTTTCTTAAGTGGAAACTAACATTCTGGGCTATGATTCAAATGTATGATTTTTCAATAGTATCTATTAATTTAATAAGTTCAGATTGTATACTGACTTTTAAGCAATTTTTAAAAGGTCTCCTACTGTAAAAAACAAGGATTTTTTAATTTGTGAAATACTCACCCCCTTTTGAAAACGTTTCGCTTCAACTGGTAAAGTTTACTTATAGAATAAATCAGACATTTTTTGAGTTTACAGAAGAACATTGTAAACCAACGTAGCATGTATCAGTTCAGAATTGCTCTAGAACATGATCAAATCATCTGTGCAAATTCCAGACAGAAGTTTCCTTTTGTTTATCCTTTCCAATTGAGAATTAGGAAACCAGGAAATACGTGGTAATAAAAGCACTAGTGACAAGAACAATGTTTAAGAAACTTTTGTAGCAAGGAGATAAACATCTGTTTCCAGTTAGTGCCTCACACTTCCTGTCTGCCATGACCTCTAATTTTACAGGTACCAATAGAACCAATACTTTGGTACTTGGCCATGCACCCTCAAAACCTAAATACGTCCAAAGAAGGGTTTTTATATAAAAAATACAAACAGATAAGGAATTGCCCCCTATATTCTAGCCTACGTATACACTGGGCGGTAGCAATTTCTCCTCCATTTAACAGCTCAATTATGATGAACTCTTGGCTGGAAAGAATGTGAGAATTTGTTATCATACCATTCAACTAAAACACTGGCCAGCTACTACATAATAAATTTATGGAAACACCGTGTAATCCTATGCAGCTAAAATACATATACATGCAATATAATAATAGAATGCAAAGTCCTTTATTATAAAGACTGATGGAAGTACACTGGTTACACAACGCTTTGTTATAATAACCCTCCCCTGAAAAAATGGTTTTCGGTATAAAATCACACATATTCAAAGCAGATCAGGCAAAGCACTATACCAATGCTTTGGCCAACTCAGAGGAATCCCTCTTGCAGTTCGTGCCCTGGCGCTGCAGTCACAACTATAGGGAAGTGGAAGGAACCATATTTTTGTGTTACTTCTGTGTTACTTCTGCTAAAAGAGAATCTTCATCATCTGTCAATAATAATGAGGTACTAATTTAGAGATAAAAGGGTCAATAGTTAGAAGAGTCTGCTGTTACAGCTGTAAACATAAAAAAAGTGAATGGGGATGGCACATGAGATTTTCAATCAGAACAACAATTTTCAAGTTTAGTACTTCAAGAACGTGGAATAAAATATGATGAAAGTACTTTCTCTTTTCCTAAGTGTGATCTGTGTACTAATAAATTTGTGGCCTAAAACAGCAAGTATGTTGGTATCTGAATGTTGATAGTCATAACCATCATGATAAAAACTTAATTTCAGTGAAGGAAGCCTCAAAAATTGGAGTCTCATAAGAACCTTAGGACAAAGAAAGAAATATATTTAATGACTGATTGACTGTAGACTTTGAGGCCACTGGAAGGTACTATGAAAAAAATCGCTCTCGACAATGCCCAGAAAGCCAACCGTGTCCTGGGCTGCGTGTCCAGCAGCGTGACCAGCAGGTCGAGGGAGGGGATCCTGCCACTCTGCTGAGACCCCCCTGCAGTGCTGCGTCCAGCTCCGGGGCCCCCAGGACAAGAAGGACACGGAGCTGTTGGAGCGAGTCCAGAGGAGGCCACAGAGATGATCCGAGGGCTGGAGCACCTCTGCTATGGAGACAGGCTGAGAGAGTTGGGGTGGTTCAGCCTGGAGAAGAGAAGGCTGCGGGGAGACCTTAGAGCCCCTTCCAGTCCCTGCAGGGGCTCCAGGAAAGCTGGAGAGGGGCTGGTGCCAAGGGCAGGGGGTGACAGGCCAAGGGGAATGGCCTGAAGCTGCAGGAGGGGAGATGGAGACGGGATGTGAGGCAGAAATCCTTCCCTGTGAGGGTGCTGAGGCCCTGGCAGAGGTTTTTTGCCCCTGGCTCCCGGGCAGTGTTCAAGGCCAGGCTGGATGGGGCTTTGGGCAACCTGGGCTAGTGGAGGGTGTCCCTGCCCATGGCAGGGGTGGCACTGCATGGGCTTTAAGATCTCTTCCAACCCAAACTAGCTATGAATCTGAGATTCTATGAATGCAATGAAAGCAACATCTTTTTACTAATGGAAAACCAAAGAAGTCAGGCAATATGGGCCCAGCAAATGTTTTACTGTTTCCTGAAAAAAATGCTAATTACAGTAACATTTACTTTAGAGAATGAACAATGATTTAATAAGAAGAATAAGTTAAATAATAAAAATAATAATAGAAGTCTTACCTGTGTGCTGTAGCTAATCATTGTCATTACTGATGTACTAGAATCTCTGAGCACTTGCAGACTGATTAAAGTTGTCTTCTTATGAGCCACAGCAAAACGAGATCCCACAGCAAAATATACTAAACCACGAGGAGCATCACTTTCAAGGACTGTTACAAAAGCAAATCTAGCACTGCTGTTCAATGCAGCTCCTGTGCTTACAGCATACAGCTCAACAAAAAAATATGTTTCAAATTCAGGCACCTGTAAATGATGATTTTCATATCATTATAAGACCTACTAATTACTTTCAGCTTTAAAAAAAAGTATACATTCTTTTGTATGCGCAATGGATTACTCATACTAACACAAGCATGCTTCTTGAAATGCACAAGTTCAATGAAGTATATCCTAAAAACAATAATGTTGTAGCAGGCACCACTCTGTTATGTGCAATAATGACATCTCAAGTTTTGAATGGAACTTTACTGAAATGAAGTAACTATTTATATATTACGTGTATTGTGGCTGTAAATTTGCCATGAGATATGATGGTAAACTCTTAAACAGCTCATTCTTCCAGATTATGGAGTTACATAGCTGCACATTTTGTGAGGAATTTGCTCTTTCACTTTATGTTTGCCTTACAAAAAGGCATGTACACATCTACTTACCTGTGGAAAAAAATGGACAGAAGTCTAACTATGCAGTTTTGAGTCTGCAATTAATATTGACTGTATTCAAATATTGAACTCTGGTAAAGTTTTGAAAAACATTTTACATATAGCCTTAGTGTTTATACACTACCATGTTTATACATAATTTTACAAGCAAGTTTCACTAGATTTGAATGCTTAACTGAATTTATCCAAGAACCCAAACCCTGGAGATACCATCCGGTAGACTTCTGTGGGGTTTACAATATGCAAAAATCTTGTGTCAGTCTGGAAATACAGGCTATTGAATTTTAGTGTCTACATGTCAAAGAATTAGTCTAGTCAATTCTACAACTTATGCCTGTTTACTGGAAATAAGATAGCAATATTAAATTTCAATATGACATGCTGCCCTGTCTTTGATTTTATACATACAATACAGACATAAAATGTTTAGAAATAGACATCTAATTACTGAGATTCCAGAAATAATAAAATACATCATCTGAGCCTATTACATGCACTCATGAAGGAGCAAACTAGCAAAAAAGTAGTTCTTTATAAGACAACAGCATTACAACAAAAAAGTTGATCATTGAAGACAATTTTTTTATTAGCAACATAGCTTTTTGTTTCAGCTCTGGATTTTTGGAAATCCTACTTTAATTCTAGGAAAGCAGGATTCAGCTCTTAGCTAAGGAAGTCAGTACAAGTGACTAAGTAAAAACTTTCACAAGCTAGAATATGTCACACCATATTTCATAAAAACTGTAAAATATTTATTGAATGTATTTATTACTTCATCGTTTCATAACGTATTTGTTACTAATTTATAGGCTATCTTATGGAAGAAGAACTGGAAGAAGAATTAGGAAATATTTGGGGGGTTAAATAGCATATATTTTTAATTGAGTTATCGTTAAGTATGTCTTTAAATGGAAGGATCTTGACTAATTGATGACAGGCACAAATTTACTGGAATGCCATAGGGAACTTTAGCCTTCCATTAGCACCTGTTACGAGTGGCACACGCTTGTGCTTCACACGGTACAACTGCATGTGTCTGCAGCTGCCGCACTGCTGTCATTAAATAATTATATATCACTCCTTTGGACTAAACTGGTTCAAAATCCCAGTTTACTCAGTGTGGCAGCCTGTGCCCCACTCATATATATATTTTATTCATTGGCTCTGTAATTTAAAAATAACATCTGAAGATGAAAAGAGGAAAATGGCCCTCTTACTGAACTGAGAGAATGCACCTTGTTCCCTAGTGGGAAATCACTATTTCCCACATTCTACATCTTGCGTTATTTTCTAGAATGTAGTCAGAAAAAACGTGGAAACCTTCTCATCTTGTCCTTTTCCATTCCCAGACCTCAGCTTTGCCACTAGCCTGACTGTTGGGATAATTTCTTGGCAAGTTTCAAACTCTCCACTCTGAAAGAATGGCAAACATTAATCCTTCCTTTCTTAAGGGACTGCTCTAACCAATAGGTGTTCACACAAAAATATTTTTTTCCTTCTCTTTTCAATAAAAATGACTGAATGCTGTGCTTTGTATTCAATGACGTCTGCATTTTTAGTGCCAGCTGGGCCTCTCAAGGCTCTTGGGCTTAAGCATACCCAACTGACGAATGCCAAATGGCTTTAGTGGATAATGGCTACTAAATTGAACTTCGCTGCTCACAAGCTGGATGTGCCCAGCAACAGATTTTTAGACACAGAGATTCTTATGCAGCTTTGTGATTGAGTAGAGTTTTCACAGATCGTTGTGCTAAATTTCGGCATGTAAAATTATGCACTAGTTGCAAGAAAAGTTTTTTGTTGAACAAGAAGTTATTACTTATAGGATATGCTTTCCATAAACCACCCTAAGAAGTGCTTTGATAGATGAAAAATTTACTGTGTGAAGGATAAGAGTCCAGTATTTAAATATACATCTCACTGAAATAACTCCATTCTTTTTTTTCTTATTGTTCTATAAAAATCTGAGATCCACAATTTACTCTTCCAACTAAATACTCATCTCCTTCCCAAATTTTTACCAGGCACAATGGAGGTGGTGCAAGCCTGTAAATAAACGTGGTTGCAGAGGAACTGAGAAGATGTCAAGTTACCATCTTCAAACTGTGTCCTACACATCAGTTCCTCTGGATCAGAGGGTTTTTTCATCTAAATAAATTGCAATTCAACACCATAGTGCTGTACACAAATGAGCAATAATTACTTACATTATCAGGTTTTATTTCAATGGAGATGTTGCACATTGTTTGACCTGCCATGCAGGTCGTGGCTCCCAGAACAGATACAAGTTCATTCTCCAAGTTCATGCCATCTTTCAGAAGGACAACAGCTGTTTTATTAAAGGTCACACGCCAAAAGATATTCACATCTTCAAAAGCCCTGTAAGCAAACCAAAATAGAGATCACTATTGCTTTAGGAAACATAAACCACAGAGCTAATACACATTTTATGTTATTATTCAAAACTTATCACTAGGGAACAAACTGCTTCAAGATGAAAAATTCTCCTTTTTAAATTCCTTCCTCTAAAATCTGCTTAGATTACCAAAAAGTAACACAGGAAGAAAAAAAAGCAATTTTTTTTGCAAAATTGGTACCCAGATTCTTCTCAATTTTTGGTCCAGAAAACATGAGATTAGCTGAATCACTGGTGCTTGGAAGACAGGGATGTGCCCAGGTACTTTCCTTACTACTAGAGTAGCCATTTGCCTGGAAAGCCAGGCTGAATTTGTCTTCTAAGTTTAAGAAACTTTGAGAACTTGAGCGTATTTGCTTAAAGTACACATATATGTACAACATATATGTGTGCTAATTAGAAAAAATGTAGTATCTGTGTGAGTGAAGACATAAGCATAGTACTGACACTTAGGTATCTTCTTAATTGCTCATTTTAGTATTCATACCTATATTATGTTACACTGGGAGATGCAAATTTGGATTACACCTTTAGCAGTGCAAACACTTTACCGTAAGCAAAACTTTCACACTTGCTGCCTTACAGTATGACTTGGGAAATGTTTTTTGTTTTCCATTTCTGCTTTATAACAGTACAGTGACAGACCTAATCGCATCTGCAACTTAAAAGCCTGTTTGCCAAATTTTGGGGAGTTATTATAGGAGCTGAAAGGCAAAGATTTACTACAAAACTCTGTGATAACCTCTTCCACTAAGAGCAGCCTCTGTGATTCAACACAGCATATTGCAGCGTGTGGGAAGGACACTTAAATCAGCTGTTGCCTGCACCTGTCTGGTTGCCTTGTGACAATCAGCAGCACCTCTCTGTTTTCTGAGTCTTCATCAAGTACAAGACCGCTCTGTACTTCTGGAATGAATCCCAAAATGCCATTCTGGAGATCACTTCCTATATAGGAAACAGTCCATCAAAGTAATTAGCAAGAAAGTTAAGCTGAGCCTAAATACATATCTTTAATGTGGATAACCACTAAAAAAATAAAAACTAGGTATCAAAAGCATGCTGCAAAGTACGACTTGGAGATGCCTTGAGAAAATTTCTTTTAATATTTCTACTCTTAATTTACACTCCATACTTATCTAGAACTTCCAATGTTGGCATTTCTAAACTTTATTTTAACCAGTAGAGTAAGCATTGTTGAAAGTAAATCTCTTATGAGTCCTGGCACCATCTATGCACATAAGCTTGAATTTTCAGCAGCATTCAGCAAACTGACTGAATTCTGTGTCCTTTGCCTTCAAAAGACTAGGTGTTACAATAGTCCAGAACAGTGTCAAAAACCTGGCTTTTAATGCATCACTTCAGCTATATTATTTTATGTTTACTGTAACCTTTAAAACATATTCTTTCTACACAGAAATGGGCCTCAGCGTGCCCCTAGATGGACATGGTAGGTTACGGGATAAAGATGGTCGTCCAAGGACAGCTTGCTTATTCATCCCACCCCTAATGTTGTTGAACCCATTCATTTTCCCAAATTGTTACATCAGCTTTTCTCCTGCATCGTTAATTCAGTGTGTGGAACTAGGGAGCTGCAAAATACTGCATTGTTCCCATGGGAATGCAAATAAGGAAGGAAAAACAGGGCTAGGGGAAATAGATGTCTTCACAGTGTCCCGTTCAATCTTGCTTCTAAAAGATTTCTCCTTACAGGTAGTGATGGTTTTACTTTGCAATTGAAAAGGCTATCTACTTCTGACCCAGGGCTTATTAAATGTCAATATATATATTGAAGATAAACAGAAACTTGTTTCTAAAAATTAATCTATGTTGTGGTTAAACTTGGTTTATATTCAGTTGATAAGTCTGATTGATAGATATGTAAAAGCTAAGGGAAACTGGACTGCAGAAACAAACTGCATAGTATCAAAGAACGGAAACAGAAACTCTTTTTTGTACTGTGTACAAACCCCATAAAATGTAGAAGTGACAAAATGGCAAAGAAAAATGAAAAAGCCTGCAATGCTACTACATCTGCAAGAAAACCACTCAAACTTAGCCTTTTCCATTCATGAAGTAAAACAGGGCAAGGACAGAGATAAGCAACATCTATAAATGTATTTTGAGCTACATTTCTCAGGGATGCATGGTCAGCTTGGTGCATTAGATGCTTCCTCTGATCTTGAAAATTCAAGATTTGGGAGTAGAATACCCTGCTTATTATCAAATAGAATTCCAATCTTTACATTGCTATGAGAACATATAGTTATTTACTGTTATTTAATATAGATGTATTTACTAATTTTCTGGGGGAAAAAATATTACCTGCAATAATTACTGTTGCAAAAGCAGCAAATCCATATTCATCTTTTCCTTCCACAATCTGAGCTCCACATTCAGGATTTGAGAGGAAAACATAAAACAATTCCTGTCCTTCAGGCTCATCATCATCAAAAATTTTTATGGACACCTTGCTTTCTCTTTCTCCATCCAGCAAAGTCAGAGAGACTGACTGTTCCTCAAAATCTTCCCCTTCCATTGCCCATGTGAAGTTTGATTTTCCATAAACATTTCCAAAAGGATATGAATCTACTCCACTCTGTGCACTCACTCCCCCAAAGGTTTTAATGGTTACTTCAATATCACCAGTAAAACCCTTGGTCCTTCTGATATGAAGTGTCACTGTGTTGGGGGTACTGTTGTTTGCATCTTCTTCTACATATATAAACTCTGGCCCCAAACTTAGTATTCCATGAAGAATATCATTAGCCAGGACATTAATTGTTGCAATGCTGAAAGCTGGATTCAAACGTGGACTCCAGGTAGCATCCAGAGGTTGAACATCCAAAATTTCCACAGCAGTCAAATTTACAAAAAAAAATTCCTCCATTTCTGACACAGTGTCATCAATTATTGATACTTCTATCACAGCATTTGTCTGAAAAGGTAAAAACATAAGCTCTCCGTTGTAGATGGGTATAAAGTCCTCTAGTGGTTTGGCACTTCCTGGAATGGTTTGATACGTCAATTTAGTGAGATTACTTTGAAAACCAAACAATCTTTGGACATGTAGTGTGACTGCTTGAACATCTTCTTCAACTGAAACAGACCTTGAATTAAGAGCAAACTGGAAGATCCCCATTGGCTCAATTTCAGCTATCGTAAATCCTGATCTGAAACAGAAAAGATGTCAAAGTTGAGAGAGGAAATATGAAATATGAACAGTAAAACACCCAAGCAGAATAATTTCCAGTGGCAATCAATGTTGGCTGTAAGAAAGTGGATTTAAAAAAACTGTGTAACAGTAGAGGGAAGAAATAGCAACCATACAAAACAAGATGTAAAGAGGTTCCCCGAAAAATGTTTTTGCAATGATTGGATCAAACAGCACTCCACAGGCTTAATGCATCATGAGTCAGCACAGGATAGAGAGTAAAGGATACATAAAATAAGATCTTCCTGAGAAGATGGACAGGCAAAGGAAAGTATGATGTCTTTCTATTGGGGTCACAACACAGGGAGATATATCGCGATCTAGCAGCTCCGAGTCATACCAGTTTTAACCGCAGAACCAACTTCCTGTATCAAGGGAAAACTGTGGGGTAGACAGGTGCTAGGAGATCTGCAATTTTAGCCAGGAAGCTAGAGAAGGAAGGGAAGATATTTTAAAACTTCCAGTGGGGCTTTGAAATGCTAACTACCCCCTCACAACACTACTGACAGTAACATTTTCCAGATTTGAGCCTTATTATCAGTATCAATGTAAGCTCTACTTTGCTTATATTAAATATATATGTTCTGATTAGAAAACAAGCATAGAGACCAGACTCTTTGCCAAACCTTGGGTCTTACACTTATTTGTAGAACTGACCCATTGCTCACTACAATTAGACTGTGATTTTGGTTAACAAACTAGACCCTTTCCACCACTAAGGAAGCCAAAAACTCTTCTAAGTAATGGTAAGCTTTACCTCCTGTGGGATGTAGTCTTAAGTTTCCCAGGAAAGGTCATTCTCGTATACTCAAGGTACACAGGGTAAATACAGAGTGCTCTGCAGACACTAGCCCACAGGACCAACAAGCCTAGGAGAAGGGCTCAGTCGTGGGATTTTAGCCATCCTGTTCATTCCTCACTTCCTTCAGATTTACCAATGTAATTGTAATATGGTGAAGCCAATACCTTTCTCCAGATGCAAGTCTACTCTATGTCCCAACATTTAGCGATCAATGAGCAAGGAAGAATGAAAATAAAATAGATTGAAGAATAAATAACAACTTAGCTGAGATGGAAAACTATACTAAATGTAAGGGCTTTGGGTTTAAGAATAAAAAGTGATTTCTATATGAATTAGGTATTTGTTTGAATATTCCTTGTTTCAATTTATTTATTTTAAATATTGTTTGTTATCTAAGATCTTCCGAATATGGATTTTTAGGGATACTAATGAAAACTGTTAGCGTTCCTTTAATTCTTCAGCTTCCTGGCTAAAACTGTTAATCTTGGTTCTTCATTTTCTCAACTGTCTCCATCACTCTAGACAGATTCCAGGCACCTTGGATCCCAGCGATATGAAATAGGAACTGGAGAAAAGCCTCAGTTCTGATCAAGTCAGATCCGCCCTACTGACACTTGTTTCCACCGGAGACAAGGCATACAAATTTATGAAAGAAGGCACAACAGCTAGCTAGCTACCTGCAATTTCATAGGGGTTTGTACAAGGTGTATATCTGTACATAATTCTTACAGCATCTGTGCAACTCAAAAGTACCAGTAATATCCTTACCTCAGGCGAGCCCCACCAGACACATTGCTGTGCACTGCCATTAAAGTGATGGCAAATGACTCATGTTTATTTAGGCTTGGAGTAGCCTGAAATGCAATTACTTTACTTTGCTCACCAGAAGAAAATACAACAGTACCTGAAGGAAAAGAGAGAGTGAGAGAGAACACAAGTCAAAAATCACTAAGTAAGAACCCTCTTCTTACCTGGGAACGTGCTGAGATAGGGACTGTAATCACAATCCCCCTCCATTTAGGAAGAAGAAATCTGCATGATAAGGTCTTTCCTATATAAAGCTGTCCTTCAGGGGCATAGCATTGTGCCCACTTCCCAGGCATGTATCTACGATGTTTAGTTCTATTTTTGCTCATAAATTAAACATATCCCTTACAGATAAAAAATAGAGCATACCATTTGATTCTAATGACTCTTCATTAACAGAGGAAGCATGTAGAGCTACAAATAATTAAATGTGGTATCATCACTTACACAACTTTCCTAGCTGTTTCCTCAGACAATTACTTACCAAATGGAGGAGTAATATTGCCTGGCTGAGCAAAGTCAGCGATTAGGTCTGGTGGGTATCCTGAAATCCAGCTGACTATTACAGAGCCATAAACTCCTTTTCTGGTTATGACAGCCTGGCCGGTCCCTGCTACAATGTCTGTAAGTTGTAAAATCACACATTCAAAGCCGACCTGTAGAAACATAATAGATTTTGTTATGGGAAATGGAATAAAAATGGGCAATAACATATGTGAAAGTGTACTATAGTTTGTAAAATAGGCATTTTATAATAACTATGCATATATATATGTATGTATGATACATATGCACATGTGTATATATATATACATACTTCCTTCACAACTCTTTAACAAACATTCTACATCTGAGATTTTTAAGAATTAGATCTCAGGGAAAAGGAACCAGTATGAGTGACATTTCACTATTGAAAACACTGAATATAACATTCTGTGTCTCTTGTTCAAAAGAAAACCAAACAAACCTAACCTTAATGCTCACAGGCAACAAGTGTAGTACTATGTACATACAAACAGATCTAAAATAAATTATTAATTGTGTATCCAGTGAAAAATAAGTTGTTGCCACATAACATTGCTCACAAAATTATTCTTGCTAGCATGATCTACTTTTTGTTTTCTTTGAGCAACAAGTGAGACTGAAAGGATAATTCGTACATTCTAAAAGCAATAATAAAGGGATATATGGTAGTAAACAATGTTTAGAGAAAGATCATTTTAATTAAGTTCAATCACAAATTAAAAGACAGAACAGTGTTTCAAGACTATTAAAATAATTCAATAAAAACTTCAACAAAAATTTAACAGATAAAACCCCACGATGCTATTGTCTTTGCCTGACAGACAAAAAGGGAACTGTAGCACATATACCATATCAGAATAGGCAAATTCTCTTTTCTCACTCTCATATAAAATAGACAAATGGAAAGTTTCCCACCCAGCTAAATACACTGTCGACTGCATTAAAAACCAGCATGAGCTCCACCTCTTTTTGCACATACTACTGCATATGTGTTGTTATTTACTTTGGGGCTGCCATACTTAGAGCAATAACATTATCCAGAATTAGTTTATTTTCCTTTAAGTCTCAGAACTTCCATGTCATGTAAACAAAAGTATGAATTAACCATTATATTTACACTATTTACATTTTTACAGATGAAGAGACATTTTCAAACTCTACACATTTCTGTAAGAATTTGTATCAGAGAAAAGATAACATACAGTACAAGTAATAACTGGAAAAGTCTCGTCAGTCATTAAATTGCATTAATTGCAATGATGAAAACTTCAAATTGACTTCTCACAGCAGCTATCTTTTGTGATGAAGTGTACCTCCTTTCTGTGCTAGAAGTGTTACACTGCAGCCAGTCTACTGACCTGTGAATTGGCAGCTTCCTCAGGAATAAGCAGAACAGCTGACTTTGCTTTTCCTAATATTTTAGGCACATCCTTGGCACTTCCCCTAACCAGGCTTACATTAATCAGTTCCAGCGTAAAATTCAAGCCCAGTAAAAGAAATGCCTTTGAGAGAGAATTTAAACAAAAAGGTAGAAATTTAATTCCACTAAAAACCTGATATCCAACAGTTCAAAGAATTAAGTAGCAGCATAATCTGCAGATCTAGTTCTACCTGCATACAAAAAGCAGTGTTTTCAAGACAAGTCTTCTGTTGATTATGTTTCTCAAAGAAATACAGCTCAAATGTCAACACTGTGAATACAATTTACCAGTAGTTTGTCGGAATGTGAGTTTGTAGAGCAACTACTGCCATTTTTTTAAATTCTATCTAACACAGTGGGCCTCAGCTTGGTTTTAATTCTTAGGATTAAAAGCATGTAAGATGGGCGTAAAAGGATGTAAGTGTGGATGTAAGACTGTTATAATAATAACAAGTAACCAGGGAACACAGAGAACTGAAGGTAAATTTATCTGCTGCTTCATGAGTCAGCACTAATAGATCGCCATTTACAATCCAAAAGGGAAACTAGACAAAATATTTGCATATGTATAATAATAAAATATTGAACTGATAGTAACACAAAGCAATGACAGAAGGAAAAAACTGAATATTTGAACACGTGCATAGCAGTGATTTTGCAATTATTACCTGAAAATGTGATGTTTAAACCCAGTTCTACTCCATAAATAGGAAATTCATATTACTAAAACTATCTTTTCTGTGGATACTTCTTCACTGTGGATACAACTGAGAGTTTAGTATCTTCTTCCAGCACGTTTGTATTGTGATGGACACAAGGGGAAACAATAGATCTCATGGGAACTGAAAGGATAATACAGACCTGGCTGCGTATTGGCACTCTTTTCACTCCAAAGCTGGCACCATCTTTTACTGTGAGGTATCCCACCTCATTCTCAGGTGCAATTAGTGCTTCTTCATGATAAGACAAGATGTGGTACTCAACAATCACTTCTCCAAATGCCCCAGCATGCCGAGTTACATTAATCTGAACATACCGATCCAGGTTTCTCTCTACTAATATTGACTGTTGATCAGAGTACAGGGCAAACACTCCATGGGGATCATCATTTGCAAATACATTGATCTTTGAAATTCTTTTCTCTTGGTCTAAATCTGCTCCACCTTCTACTGAAACCAGCTGCACCACATAGTTCTCATCCAGTTCTGGAACGTCATCAGGTAACAGGTAGATAATTATCTCAGCTGTACTCTGCTGGTCAGCAATGACAACAGATCCCTCTGTCCTAAGAAAGTCACCTGTGATGTCAGATTCACTGCGTATTTCCCAGTAAACCTGAAAGGATTTTACAAAATGCATAAAACAAAAGAAAGCGAAATTACCCACAGAGTCAGAAATGTTCATATTCAGGATTCAATATAGATAGGAAACGGAACAGATTGGTTTTAAGTAGGTAAAACAGAAATCGGTTTAGGTATGCATAGAAAGAAGCACACAAACTATCTTATGAAAGGAGCATGTGGTGTTCCTCTAACAGGACTATGAATGTGAAGATTTTCTTTCTGTATCTTCAGAAGGTTTATTTAAAACTATATGGAATCTCTGAACCATTTAAAAAATATTTTTATTTTTGCACCAAGACATCCTTGCTGATTTTCCTATTTCCAAGATTCCTCACATCAGAAAGGGGTGAAGATTCTCATTAAACACAGCAGATGCTTTTATTAACTATTTTTTTTTTAATTAAACAAATACCTGTTAAAATTCTGACTTCTAAACAACTTTATGTAAAAATCAATGTGAGTGATGGTTGAAAACAGTCTGATTCTTACTTTTAAGTGTGCCTGGGAAAAAACAAACTGTGATCATCTCACAGAAAGCTTCCTATGTAAGTATGTGCTGTTCTGTTCTCCCATCAATAGCACACGGAGAGAGAGAGAGAGAGAGAGAAGCACTGCAGTACTGTTTTTCTTTTTTTTTTCCTGACCAGAGGACACTGAATCTGACTCTCCAAACCACGAGTTCTAGGGCTGAGACCTTGCTAAACTGAGTCTAAAAGGCAACATTTCAAAAAGGAGTTTGAGAAACAAGCAACTGAGAGGCACAGAAAAAAAATATTCCTCTATACATTGATAAGGTGATTTCAGATTGTACTGTTTATTAGGAAAAGAGTGAGAATACCGTTACGTTTCCCATCGTGCCTTGAATTCGTCTGACAAACAGTGTAATACTTCGTGGTCCTTCTGCTGCTGAGGGTTCTGTATAGTTATTCTCAGCTAATGATTCAGGAGCAAACTGTACAATCCCATTGGGATCACCAAACTTCTGTATCTGTAAAAGAAGTAAACAAACCAAAAATCAGAAATGTAAAGTGAGTTGTACTCTTGTTCAAATCATTGAGATTTTTATTGCTAGATGCTACAGGGCACATATCTTTAGTTCTTCCTGCCGAGTTTTCTCCTCTTAAGAAGACTCAAGAGTACATTAGTAGTTAGAAGAGAGAATGAGAGAGTAAAAAAACCAACAACCCAGTAGACAGGACCATCAAGTTATGAGAAGGGTGTGATATCAAGCCCATGTGCATGCGCACACATGCACACACGCACACACACAACAAAGCAAAATTATATGAAATCTATGGGTAACTTGCTATTTTGTGAGAAAATCCTACAATGATACATAAATAAGTTGAAGCAGGATGTAAACTGAACAGTAGTCAAAATATGATGTTGCCAATAAATGCTTTGATTAATGAAAGCATTATACATAAACAAATTCAGGCAATGACAACGATTTTGTCCACTGAGTTGAGCCTCACTCAGCTTTAAATAACTTGTAAATTATAAATGGTCTAAACATGTTTCAGAGAGTAAAGTAATTTTGAAAGTATTTGGAAAACATATCCCATGGATACAAGATACTAAGAGACAGCAGAGAAAGTATGAATGTCCCCTTTTCAGATTTTCAGCACTATCCAAGGAAGAAAAGGACAAAGTTTTATTTCAAGTGCTTTATCTGAATATTCTGCCATTAAAGCAGGAAATGCTCAGACTCCTTGGGCTAGTACAGAAACTCTTCTAACATCATCCATATTAGATGTTTTGCAAATTCAGCCCTCTGGGACAGAGCTCATCCACATCCACCTGTGTGAATTACTAGGTGCCAGAGGACTGATTCATTGGCATGCAGGCTGGCACATTCCAGTCCAAGGAATAAACTTGGGTCCCTGAAGGAGAAATTGAGGAGTCTGTGGAAATAGGAGCTAATTCCATCAACACTCTACAGACCAGAAAAAAAAAAAGGAAAAAAATTCCAGTTTCTAGGAAAGATTTATTTTTTTTCAGGCTTCTTATAACAGCCCTATAAATATTTCCTTAGTTGCAGTATCCCTAGAGCAGTAATTTGTCTTTGACAACTCCCTCTGCCTTCTCCCACAAATTTCTGCATTTGTCTTGCTCTGCAGTAGTCAGATTCATTCCCTTATTTTTTATATGATAACTGGAGCAGAAAAAGAGGTCTAGAAGGGATGAACAACAAACTGACATTTAGAAATGAGGACCCAATCCATGCTCTCTCCAAAGAGAACCACAGAAATCTGCAAGTAAGAGGGCCAGGTCAGGGGTTATAGACCAAATTTTACTGATGGATTCTTTGCCTTCTTTTATAAGAAGTGACGCTGTAATAGTTCACCTAAGTAGTACAAGGGACAAAAAAGCCAAATGACAAGCTATGCAAAAACTATTATTTTTTCAAAGCTCTGCAGGACAAATACCAATATCAACAAAGGTCTCAGAAGAAAGAAAAGCAATAATGACTTACTACTAGTGTAATGTTGTTTGCCTTAGGATCTATTTCTGTTTCACCTTTCATGAGACTCAGTCTAATGATGAAGATCTCCTGAACCTCAACTTCTTCATGAGGATAGATTTGTAGATTAATAGCTCTCAGACCTCCTTCTCCTTCTCCAAAATAGAATGATCCATTTACAGGGTCACCAATGTCACTATTCAAAGGAGATAAAACCTCTTCTGAATTGGGTCCCAAGATGTCCCAATTAATCTGTGGAAGATACCAGTTTCAGATTTAGAGTGGTGACATATTATAATAGTTCCCCAGGGGGAGAAATCAGAGAGTACCACAAGTGACAACAAAATCCTTGTATCTGGTAACTAGCTATGTTTAAATCTTTGCTGTTAACACAGAGTACAAAATATTCATAATTAATCCTATGTGTGAAAATACATAATCCTTTGGAAAAACAGACATGACAAACTACAAATGAAAACTTTGAAGTGTTAGTTAGCCACAATGCCAGTTTATGAAATTCTAGATGTTAGTAAAAGAAGAGAAACTGAGATTTCTTTAGCACATAACAGGAAACACACAGCCCAGTTTCCATTTCTCTCCCCTTCATGATTTGTTTTGCAAAGCTCCCCAAATGAATACTCAACACCAAAACCATTAGCTGTGAAGTGTGATATCAAGACAGAAAAGAGAAATATTTTCTTATGAGACTGCAATAAAAGTTTTTAATCCCTCAAATAATGACTCTTCATACTTCCTCAGCCTAATTAAAAGCTAGAATTTTTTCAAAACTTCCCACAAATTAGATTGCTTTTGAGGAGGTCATATTCAGCACTTTAGAAATATTATTTTGGCCTTTTTAATTGTTTTCCAGTTTTCTAAAATGACTTTTAAAAAAAGACAAAGAAGACCACAGCAATTTTTATATGGGCAGAGCAGGAGCTGATGGCCTCTACTGTCAATCTTCCAGTCATTGGCCAAGACTATGAAACCGCAGGAAAGGCCCACCTTGGTTCAGATTCATACTTTTACTTTGTCAGTGGTCTGTATAAAGTAAGGAAAAGAAGTATAGAAAACTCTCAATAAACAATTTACTGAAAAAATTTTGACCACCTTTAGGAAGTAATTCAACTGAATTAAATTAAAGTAGTGGTGGTGCATGAAATTAACCATATTGTCAATGGGATTTGGAGCTAGTTCAAAACAAAGTACACCAGACAATAATAAAAAAAGTGAGCAGGAGGAGATAGAGAAGATGAAAAGGGTAGCAACATTTTCTGTTATACTGCAACTACATGCATTTCATGCTTAATGAAAAGCTGCAAATATCCTATTAGAAAACTGTCACAAAGAAGCTCTTGAAGAAAAATGCAGCAGCTTTTTGATGTAGCCAGTGGGAAGCATTCAGCCTGTGACAGCCAGAGCCCACCTGAGTCTCCCCCAACAATCTTCCAGTCCTTTCCAGCACCAGGGATACTGCTGTGGGTCTATCAGGATTGGGAAGTATAATTCGACTTTGGTTGAGAAATCGGACGATGCCCTGGGGGGAGTCACTTTTAGCAATAGTGACCTGGCTCACTAGGTGGAGCCCAAGGATTGCTCCACCAGTGGCTCCTGTCAGCTGGATTTCAAACTGCTCCGCGAATTCACTGCATGGAAAAAGAAAAAGAGATTCTGAGACATCGGAGGGGAAAAAAAAAAGAAAAAAAAAATTAAAACTGTACTTAATAAATCAGTCATGCATCCAGCTGGATCTGTTTATAGGTATACAGAAGTCATCTCTGTAAGTGTACAGAAGAAAATTCCTGCCATTTGCATAGAATGGTGATATCTGAAATAATGTTCTCTTTTCTACTCATCTTAGATTAAAAAAATTACGGCAAAATATTTTATTATTCACAGCAGTACTATTAACACCCAAAATTTCTGATAACCTAATTAAAAAAATTCGTTTGTGTAAAATTTATCAGGAACTATGAATCTCTAATAATAGCTTCACACCCCACACCCTCCCCTGTAAATTTAGGTGATTTTTCAGCACTGCAGAAATTTGTTTTTCGGTTCCAATTCTACACACAGGCACACTGCACATGCTAAAAAAGGATTTCTCAGAAGTAAATCAGTGAATAAATATCTGAAAAATTAATTACCTTTCTTCATCATCTATAATGGTGATATAAATAAAAGTCTGGTTCTGGCCATGATAAAAAATGACAGAATTATTATGGATGACATAGTCAACACCATTGGGAAGTGCAGAAATACTTCGAGAAAGAAAATCAGCTGTTACATAGCCATAAGTTCCGTGCTTTCTCACAACAGGAATCATGATTAATCCAGCATCCTCTTCCACTGCAAGAATAATAGAGAAAAAGTTATTTTATTTCAAAATTTATGCCATAGCCACAGACTTATTTGCTAAACCACAATGAAAACTTAAGGTAAACTTACCCTGTAGAAGGCTATACTGTGGATCAAATTCTATGATGCCTTCTGCATTATCACTTTTTGCTATAGTGACTCGTACTGTGGAGATATTTCCTATTACTGGAGGTTGATCCATCTGTAGACCATTTTCTTTTATGGTAAAATCAAATCCACTTGCAAGAACATAACAAAGAAAATTACATTAAAAAATCTTGTGAAAGTATTAAGATGCAGATATGACAATTTGTCAATTACCAAAAATACTTTTATTTTCTGACAGTTGTCACTGAAGACTTTTTGATGACACTTTTTCAAACCATTATATTTGCAAAAATAGTATTTTATTCCCAGAAATGCATATCTTTAATTTTTTTCTTTCTCATTTTATCTTCTTATTTGAATTTCATGCAACTTGACAACTTGTATGTAATGTATAGACTTTTAGCCTTAATAAATCTTAATCAGCAAAATCTTTATACTAAGGTTAAAAGAATTGGGTTCCCCATACATCCAATTTCTATTATGATTATGTTATAGCTGTCTTATGAAATTTTACAGTAAACCATCTGAAATCCAGTGGTCACTTTATGAACGCACATCAGATTCCAAATATAGTTTTTTCTTCTGCTTGTAATCAATTAACTAGGAATTTTATCTTTACCTTCCTTGGAGTTCCACTTTGGTAATCATCACTGAAAAGTCTTCAGGACCTTCAGGAAAGTCATCATCATGAATTTCAACCAAAATCATTTTACTTTCCTCATGTGGTTCAAACAATAACTCCCTTACTGAGGGAGTGAAATCAATTCCCTCCTCTGCAGTCCCATTTATTATTTGAAAGCAAAGATGGACTTTGCCATAGGATCCCCTGGAACGCACAATATGGGAAAGAGGACAAACATTAAAAAAATGGCTTTGTTATTTTGTTACAGTTGCCTTTAAGAGTCTGTTCTAAAGGCGTCTTTTCAATGGTTCTGTCAGGTAGCAACTATTGGCTTTAGTAAGTACAGAGTACATATAACTTAGCAGATAGCCTTCTTTCTCAGAGTATTAAAAAACTCCAAAAGCCTCAGGCAGACATTCTGGACTCTGTGCTATGATAAATGTAGAATAAATCTTTGATTACTTTTTTTTTTTTTTCTTAAAGCTAAGCATAAATCTAGCAACAATATTATTATCTATCAATATTTTACATAAGATGGAATTTTAATCTAATACCCATTTTTCTTCTTCTGTTGTTTGCAATAGTTCCTGCGAAAATGTAAACTCTCCATACGGAAAATCACTGGCAGCCATGGTAATATTTGCTGTGCTGCTAGATTCATTTATGAGTCCTCCATCACTGATTCCAGTTAGTTGAAACTGGTAGTAATGCTTCTCCTCAGGATGGTCGTCATCTACAGCCTAGGGAGAAGAATCAGTCAAAGCTAAAAGGATTTAAACCATTTCCAGAGAGAGATATATAACTAATTTCTAACCAAGATAGTAGCTAAATAAAAGGAAGTACTTTAAATAGCTACTGGTGTAAAATCTCTCATATACCTGAATTAGAACAACTGCTGCAGACTGCCCATCTCGCATTGTCACGGTCCCTGATGTCTCAATAAATTCTGTATGATGAGGAGGTGTTATATTCCAATATATTATGATCTCACCAAAAATCCCTGGGCCACGTATCAGGCTGCAGGTAAGAAGACAAACACAGATTTAATTTTCTACCTTTAATATTTGATATCCTATCCAGTGACAGACAGTATAGCATATCGTGCATGAAAGAAATGTTATCAGCACTGTGAAGCTTGCATTTCAATGTACTAAGTCACTGTTAGGATCTTTACAATAACATTTCTGCAGTTCTGTTCTATTTCCCTGTGTTGGGACGCATCTTGAGCTGTGTTTTTACCAAGAGCGCTTTAAAGTTTCTTTGCATGTATAACCCAAAGGTGGGAACTGAAAATTGAGCTTTCTTGGTTCCATTCTGCTTTTCAGGAGATAAACATGTAAAACAGAAGGGAAATGGGACATAAGGGTAATGCCCAGACACAATTTGGTTTTTAAGGCTGAAGAACACTAGAATACTACTATGAGATCCCTTGAGAAATGTTCTGCCTGCTGCTTGTCTAAAAACCTAGAGCCTAATCGTACTCCTGACATCAGTCTTGGCGAACTAAATCATGGCAAAAATTTGTCTATACCTAACATGGTCTACAACTACTACTGCACAAAGCATCACTTTGTCTTTTGGGCTTCTCAGGGCTGCATGAGAAGCTGTTCTGTTGCTTATAGTTGCTGGTTCACCAAGGGAAAGTGTCGTAATCCTTTTTTTCCAATAATCTTGGAAGGTATGGTAACATCTTCATTTCTTTATCCTGTTTTCACTTAACTGAATGCAGTGAAATAATTGCATCTTGTTTCAACTAAAAATCCAGTTGCTGCTTTCATTATGCTAGCCATCATAGCAATATACTGAAATACAGGCACCAATCCTGAACTGAATCCTGAAAAGCACAAAGCATCTTCAAATGTCATTGATTCTCTTCCCCCCTTCCTTCAATTAGAATCCTCTTTCCTTTAATGCATCAATGTGGCAAATAATTTCAAGACTGAGAGGAATATTTAGAGCTCCCCAGCAATACCAAAAAGACACATACATAGTATATTCTGCCCTTATTTAAAAACAAGCATCTAATTTTAAAAATTGTTCTGATTTTATAAGTGATAATGAAATGCAGCACTCAAGAAATTCTTGCCAAATGTGGAGTCCCGTAGCTTTTGAAACTGAGCTGTTGTCCTTCCTTTGGAAAAACGATTGATGCACCTACCTAATAAGAGCAGTTCCGTTATAATTTCCTGAAGGTTCTCCAATCAGAACATGCTTGGATGAATGGGCTATCCCAACCACCCCAGAAGCTCCTTCATCACCCAGAATAATGATGGTTGCCACACCTGTGAAGAGAACAAATCTTCTTCTGGTAAATGACAACTAACTAATGAGCTAACTTTCATAAATATTGTGCCATGAGTGGTGAAGCACTGGCTTCCCAGAGAGCCCTTGGAATCCTCATCCTTGGAGATATTCAGAATCTGAGTGGACAAGGCACTCAGCAACCTGATCTAATTGTGAAGTCTCCTGTTCCCTGAGCAAGGTCTTCAACTAGATGACCTGCCTGGATGGTCCCTTACAATGAAATTATTCTATGATTCTTACAGGTCTGAACCTGGTTTGGGTTTTTGCTTCTTTTTGTTAAAGAATTCTTTATGGACAATGTTAACTATCTGAACACAAAGTCTACACCAAAAATTGAGAATGAAAAATTATGATCTAGAATTCTCTTTGATTTCTTCAGACAAGGAAACAAGTTAGGGAAAAAGATTGACAGTCAAAACTGCTACCAACTAGCTGCACACAGAATATATAAGCACTGAGGACTAAAATAATATGAACAGACTTACTAGAATTCTCATATGAAACATCTCAAAATAGAATAATGAATTAATTAATGAATTATTCTTTACCATTAATTATATGAATTAATTCTTTACCATTTACAGGGGATATCTCTGTATCACCAGTAGAGACTAGTTGAATGGTAAATGCTTCATTCCCCTCCAGCAGACCATCTTGTACTGCATGTAACACAATCAACTTCTGGGATTCAGTCTGCATTACATAAAGATCAGAAGATATTATATGTATGTTAAGCAAAACTAAAAAAAAAAAAAGGTATTATTAAAAAAAGTTGTTTTCTTTAACAAATCAAGTGTTAAGCATGCATATGCTTGGTATATTCTGTAACTTCTTTTTAAATATGACATTTCTGATTTGGCTGAAATGTAGTAAAATTGTCTCTCAAACATTCTGTGCCACCCCAAAAATAAGCCAACTATTTTCAAATGAATAACAATTGAAATTACTTTTAAATTGTATTCACATAGAAGTTTTCAACTTAGAAGAAATTTTCTATACCAAATCTTTTCCATCAGAAAGTGCATATTCAATAGAATACATACATTCTAAGGATCATCATTATTAAGATTAAATATATAAGATCATAGCAAATTCCTGTCTAATCCACATTTTTGTCAGTGGGTAGTAGCAAATGCTTAAAATAAGAATATAGAAAAAAATGTAGATATATGTTGTATAACTTCAGTACACATGTACACATGTATTCTTACACGTATGTACATATAAGAACTTGAAGGAGGAAAAACAATGTCCAGGACTATCAGTAGAGAAATGATAGCCAAATGATGGCAATACTTTGCTGGTTGCTTACAAAAAAAGCTATTTTCCAGCTTATTAAAAGTAAAAGAAACAACTTGTGTTCAATGCAAAATAGCCTTGTACAGATAGAAGAGATTATGCTTTATGTTAAAACACTCTTCTTCATTAAGTATTTTGAGTAGACTGTAAAAGACCAATATGAAGATAACAAAAATAGCTTGACAACATTGAGTATTTTGGCTCCTACTTCAGTTTTAAGCTGTCATGAAACAAATCAAATAACACTGTGCAGTTTGAATGTCACTACGATGTTTTATTATTTATTTTTTAAAATCTACAAATTTTAAGCATTTATTTATCCTTCTCACCCTTCCAATATAAATTTTCTCTTTCAGTTGTCTGATACAACAATGGAATAAACATTTCTGTAATTACTCTTCACAGTCCATTGTTCTTCCTCTTTCTTAATTGTAAAAATGATTCAGATCTGAACAGCCTATCTTCCTGATGATTGCATTATGCTGCCTTAATAAGAGCATGTCAGCTTTCCCTTTCTGTTTGAAAAAACACCACATACTGCTAACCCACCAGATCAAACCGGCCTTTTCCTCATGTTATAATACCCTCCACTTCTATAAACATGTTATAACAACCATGTAAACATAAGAAGAAGAAAGTATGTATAAATCTAATAGCAAATAATTTATTGCAATATCAGAAATACCTCGTTGAAGTGAAGGGTACCATTCAGAGGGGTCAGATCATATCTGGCTGCTTCCTCAAGAATCCATAAGACTTTGACTGCTCCTCGTCCTCCTTGACTTCGACTTACAGTGAGCAATACAACTGCAGCAGAGTCATCAGATGTCTGAGGTTCCTTCACTGTTACCTGATGAAGAAAGAAAAGGAGGAAGTAAGAAAGGCTGTAGCAAAAAGCATCGATACAGTCTTGAGATAAACAACAAAAAACATTATCAATGACAATGTAAAATAAGGACAAGTGAAAATCAACAGGAAGATAATAGACGTGAGGGCTGTGGTGAATTCTGCAAGCAAAGATTAGTCACTTGTGTTATTTCTGTACACCCTACGATTCAAAACAATTACAGACAATGAGTCACAAGCCAGCACAGCATCAGCAAAATGGAGAGCAGAAGAATCACTCACTGACAAGAACTGAGATGCCTTTCATATTTGCTTTCCAAATTTTACTTTCAGTAATGCAGATTACTACAGAACCTTTTCAATATTTGACAAACTACCAAAAATCCTACCTGGGATGTCCTGAATTTTTAGTATACCGAATTAATTTGATTCAGTCATGCAGAAATCTACCTCTATGCAGCAGCACCTTCATTGTTATTACCATCCTGCACAGCTAGATGAAGACAAGCACTAATATGCCTTTCAATGAAGTCATGTCTTCCACTGCAGTGAAGGCTTACCAAAATTGTCTATGCATTAGAGACACAAACCCACCACCACCTTTAGCAGAAAGAGTGCAACCCAAATCAAACTCACATTCTTTTCTTCAAACCCAAATACTCCAACAGGGGAATCATTTGGTGGAATAGCGACAGTTACCAGGGTGTCATCCCCAAGTCTTGCACCACCTGTTACCCTCACCAGGGCAATCTGGAATATCTCAAGGAATTCAACTTCACTGTCATCTATGATTGTAATTTCTATTTCTCCTGTAGCCTGAAGAAATTGTTTTTTAAAAAAAAAAAGAGCAACAAAGTTTTAGTTATAATATTCTGTGAATTGTTTGAAAAAATCTGAAATTTAAAATAGGTAAATTTTATCTAACAATAGATAAACACACTTTGTTCTGTTCTGCTTATTTCTTATCACACCTGTATACTTATAATAAGATAACAAAATTTCAAATGTGGTTTTTAAGTTCATCAACGTAAATCTTCTATGTTAAAACCAGCAGACTGCTCTGCTTTGGCACTCAGTAGAAAGCGCAGGTAGACAATACTGTACTTAAGCCAAAATTCTCCTCACAAAGTATATCCTCATTTGCCAAAGACCAGTTCTGTTCACTCAAAATCAAAACCCCTTGTGTACACTAAGTATTGCCAGGGCAGCATGAAATTTAAAACTATATGTAGAACACAGCTAAGAAAACATAGAGGCTTATTCTGAGAATATATAAAGAAGATAGGTTATGTTACAAATTCTCAGTGTAACAGGCTTTATTACTAGAAATTATGTCCACTTGTGGAGGTACCAAAGGCATACAATCCTATTTGGTCAATGCTTATGAACATTCTGCTTTTCCATGTTAAAGAAGTGAAGTAAGGAGTATCATTCACATACATAAGGCCATAAATAAAATGTTTTCATGAAAAGATGTAAGATCTTCTGGCAGGAAACATCAGAAACTCTTAAACTGGTAACTCAGAGACAAACTTTCAGCAAGTGCATACCTGCCCATCTGCAAACGTAAGGTTTCCAAATGATGGTGTGAAGTCTTCAAAGCTAGCAGTTGAAAGAATGGCTTCCCAATACAGAGCTGCTGACCCAAACCTCCCAGCCTGTCGAACAACTGGAAGTTTCAGTGTGTTTTGAGGTGGTGGTACCTCATAACCAGCAACAGCACCAGTTATATCCTGTAAATTCAACAAGAAACTGCTGAGTGTCATGGCAACCTTTTTTGCTGGTGGTTTTTTGGTTTGTTTTTTTTTTTTTTTTTCCTCCATATTGACTTGCTAGTAAAATAAATGAAGAAATACATCATCACTTGTAAATTGGTCTGAATTTAGCATTGACCTTGCTCTAGCAAAGGTCTGGATTACATGACCTCCTGAGGGCCCTTTCAGAATATTCTATGGTACCAGTTTTAGCACTTCCAGCTCCCTAATTAATTTCATATATTAATTGTGAAAAAACTTTTAAGAAGGAATTGTTTGTCTGGTATCTGCTTTTTTATCCTGAACCATTTAGTGTCATAAACCCTATTAGAACACTATCAAAACTGGTCTGAAAACACAGACTTTCCTGCTGGCATGCTACTTTTTATATTTTTCATTCAAATTTACTTACCTTTGTAACATTGAAACTGAATACTCCTCTGGCATCATCATTTTCTTCAATTGTTATTTCAGCTATTTCTAATCCAAGCCTCTTCACGCTTGGCTGACCTCCAGTGGCAGAATCGACCAGCTGCACATCAGTAATATTGATTATAAATCCTTCCTGTAATTCTGGAACATTGTCCTGCAAAAATATTTTTAAATGTCACTGTTTCAATAAAACGCTGTAAGTTATAATACATGCAGGAAGCTGACTACTTGCAGGTTGCTCACTGTTCAAAAATTCTCAGCACTTGGGACAATATAACTAATCCTTTGCTTCACACTGTACAAAAGGTGAAAAAGACTACCTTTGCTGAGCTTTAGAAACTGAAATTGGCAGTCAGATTCCAGATCTGTAAGAACAGTGGAATCACAGAATCACAGAATGGTTTGGGTTGGAAGGGACCTTAAAGATCACCTAGTTCCAACCCCAAATGTACTTTCCCCAAATGGAAAGTATTGCTGGCTGTCACTTGTTTCTCCTATGTATAGGAAAGGCGGTTACATTTCAGAAACTAAGCCAGAACTTGAAAAGCAATACCTCCATTCTGAATATATTTAAAGGATGTACATATTTTAGGTGAGTAACTAACGATTCCTGAACCACAGGATAAATATGTTAAGAGGCATGTAAAGTAAAATAGATCCTCTGTAAAAACATGCAACCAGTTAAAAAACCAGCAAGCACCTAAGACATTTATAATTTTTTACTTTGTCATTATTATATGTTAATTTGGGGACTACAACAAAACAAAGAATTTGGTTCATTCCTAGTGATGAGTACTCAAATTGTTTTGAAAGAGATGGCTGCGGTTCTTAGTAGTACAATTCTTACTAGTCTGACAAGGCAAGAATCCCACTTTAGCCATTTCTAGAATGCTAAATTCTCTTCTGGTAGAGAGACAGTACTATTTTCCCTTTCCTTGGCTAAAGTTGTTGTTGGACTACTCACAGGCAAAATAGTGACTACGACAGAAGTTATTGTTGTGTTCTCTGCCATAACAATTGTCTTCTTTTCCAGTATATAATCCTCATTCTCTGTTGCTTGGTTGGAGAGGGGGAGTTCAAAGTTAGGTGCTGTGCTCAGCTGAACTGCAATCTCTCCAACAAACCCTTGTTCTCGAACAATTTGTAAAGTAAGAGTAGTTGAATTCACTTGACCTATAACAAGGAGAGGGAGAAAATCAAGTCATGATTGTTGTAACCCTTGTCCTTCTTGATTTTCAGCTCACCTAATTATACTGGAGCTGCTTGTAGAGCCCACTTCCATTCTGCTTAGCACACAACAATACTTGGATAATTCAATGACTTGGGCAAATGAGCACATACAAGTGGTGTGAACACCACACAGTGTCTACATCTGCAAAGCATTTTAAAACTGTATCTAGAGGGAGAATAACATACGGAATATTTACAGTTTTAAATGTTTGCTACACAAGCTGTTACTTCAACATTGCCATTTTTGTTCAGTTTTCCTTCAAAACTCCCGTCTCGCTGTTTTGCCTGGGCTTTACATGCCTAGGGGATCACTACTGATTCCAATACAGAAAGCAGTGTTGGAGGCAGTCACTCTGGCTGTAAATTTTATATTTCTTTAACTCAAATGTTGATGAAAATGAGATACACTTGTATCAGTCAGGCTCAGATCCCTTTTGGGAAAGCAGATTTGCAATTTTTTTTTTCCAGTAAATCACCAAACACAGCATTTGGCTAAAAGTGCTGGGTTTATGACTGGAGAAATAGATAAAAAGCAAGAGGTTTTCAACTTTGGACTACTTTCTGTTACTTGTATTAACTAGATACCGCTTCACAGTTAGCATGTGTATATAAATCATTAAAAATAAAACCTCTAAAGATTGGAAAAGAAACTGTGCAGCAAATGAAACCTGAGAACATGCCTTGAATCCTAACTTCAAAGTACAAACATGTGCGTATGTGTGTATGTAAGGAACCTACAGAATCCCTTCACAGTACTTCAGGTGCCAAAAAAGGGGCAGCACTAATTCACTTTAAAATAGAACTGGTGAGGAGGTTTCATCTGCAATAATATTCTGATGGAAAATGTATTTTTTCATAAATTTTGTTTCTGAATATGGACAGAATATTAAATTGCCAGGAAATTTCAATTGGGCTTTTGAAGTATGAATAGCCCATCAGGCAGCTGCTGGAAAACCACCAGGCTGGTGGAATGCCAGAGCAACCGGCTGCCAGGTCCCAGGAGGGCAGGAGGCCGAGCATCATGGCGGTCCTCCTCTGGCCCACTGCCTGGCAGATCCTTTGCAATTTCACTTGGTGCCTGGAAGGAAAAAGGACATAACCCAATCAAACATGCAGCTGGCAAGCAGGAAAAAACCCTGATTCAGTTGTCTTGAAATGGAATTCACTCTTGCTCTGCTTCCTTCCTTCCCCTACCCCACAGAACAAAAAGCTTCCCTTTTTGACCCAATTCATGAGGAAATTCTATGTAAATTTTTTTTAAAAATATATTAATTCCATTAAACGGGCAAGTTTGGCTTTTCATCCAAACAGAATTATTTTATGTATTAGTGAGTTGCAACACAAGGTGCCAGGATTTTAATAACTTACACCCTAAACAAAAATTACTGGATAATGTTGATAAATGCAATGTGAAATACAGCATAGAATGTATGTAATGAAATAGCATAGTTACATATTTAAAAGGATATTTCTTCTAGAGATGTTGTATAGAATAATGCTGAGATATGTATACACAAAATATATATTATATACATTTTTATATATATATATAACCAATGTTACAGCATCAACAATGCTGACTTTGAAAAAAGATGTATTTTTTCCCAAGAATCAAGAAACAGACTTACCTTCCGGCTCTGTGACAGTCACAAAGAGAGACTCCATATGCCACCCAATCACACCGTGTGGAGAGTCACTGGGTAAAATGGTGAGCACAGC